TATTTATTGACCTCTTCATTGAGTTGTTTTAGCCCGAAATGTCTTGAGGCATGCCTCATGGTCTGGTGCCAATTCATAGGGTTGTCACAGTAATATTGTTGAAATGTGAACGCAAAAAAGCATCTTTTTTTAGAGCAAACACTTCGAAGTAATTAATAACTTCTTTTGTTACATAGGCTCGCACATTTGCCCTCTCATCATCCAGAGTGTTAAATGTGCAAACATTAATTTTTTCACCTCGCTAGCTTGGAAAGGCGAAAGCCTTCTCATTAGAAATCTGCACGCAAAAGCGTTTTTTTTTAGTAACTTTTTCTTTCGGTGAAAAAAGAACATAATGACTCGGAGAACTAGGCGATTTATCGTACATTATTTATGTAATATAAATCCGTTGGTATATTTTATTCTTATTATTGTTGACATTAAATTGACAACGATAACAAATTTTATTTATTAAAACTGATTCGTTATACTTTAACTGTTTTTCGTTCATGTACCATTTTCGTCGCTATAGTGAGGTGAAAAGTTGTGTTTACCTCGGCAGCAAAGTTGTTGTGCTTTTTGTGCATTGAAACCCACGCTACGCTCATTATTCTACTTTTTAAGCATAGGGAAGCGACTTAGACTCCTTCGCTTGCTTAGGTTTCAATATAATATATATGCTCTGTGGTTCCAGGATGGTGCGCGTAGTATCCACACAGCAGCTCGGTACGGTCACGTCGGGATCATCAACACGTTATTACAGAAAGGAGAGAGTGTCGATGTAACTACCAATGTAAGAAGCAATTCTTTATTGTTTATCCCTTGTATAAAACTACTCTTCATTCCCAATTGTCTGTCCAAGCACCTAATTATATATATATTTAACACAAAATTGCCATCCATTAAACAATAAAACAATAATGTGGACAAAAGTGTGAAGACTCAGCATAGCTGATTTTCACTGTACGTACATGTATAAATATAACTCTTACCTTATTTCTTTACACTTCTCATGAACGCCTGATGATACTATTAGAGCAAAAAATCTTCCAAGTGAATTTAGTACACATTTTAAATGTGAGAGTCATCCACTCGCCATTATTTTAACTTTAATTTTAAACTTACTCTTTCAGGACAACTACACAGCTTTGCATATAGCAGTGGAGTCATGCAAGCCAATTGTAGTGGAGACGTTGTTAGGGTACGGCGCAGATGTACACATACGAGGCGGTAAACAGAGAGAAACACCTCTACACATCGCCGCCAGAATTCCAGATGGTTAGTTGTAGCACTACTCATAAGATGTTTAAGTATCTTTAAGTTCTTTTTAACTCGTCCGATCACTATTAATATAGCATAATGAGACAGATAGCCCAACTCTCTGAATGCTTACACGGCACTCGGAGCGTAGGGTTGGCACATTGTTACTTTAATTGTATCTTTGAGCGGTTACACAAAGCTACTTTTACCAGCGATGCAGTCACTAATGACTACTACCTTTACCCACGCGCGCGATTTTCGCAAGCAGCGACGCAAGCGCGCGACTGCATCGATACTTACAAACGCGCGATTGCATCGCTACACTTGGGCTTTATAGGCGTTCTCTTAGGGTTGCAAAACATAATTTGCAAAAAAAGGCATTCATCTCAGTATTCTCGTTCTACACAGCAATAAGCTTTGTCAAATTTAGTACTTACATATTATTTATGACATTTTTATACCAGTAAAAATGAAATGCAAAAGAGTTCTTAGGTTTATTCGATTGTTGATAGAAAATGACAGTATTTTTTCGTATCTGAATCGCGTGTATTTGTTTTGTCAAACAAACCAACGTTCCGTGCTCTTTACAGGTCTTATGGTTGTTGCGACTGACGGTCAGCCTTGACCATAGGACTTATAAGTCCTATGGTCAAGGGTCCGAATAGTATATACACAAGGATACATAAATATATTTTAAAAATGAGAGCGACTCGCATTGTGCAACTCGAGTGTACCGCGAGATGATACGAATGTGTGCGTCCGTAAATGGCGCGCGCCTGGCATGCACACATTCAAGTCACTCTGCTACGTACTATACTTTTAACTAATTAACACATATCTATGCTCTCCTTATTAACTGCGGAATCTGCCATTTTTATCGTAACTGAATGAGCGAAATACGACCCCATTTTGTTTTTATATGTCTAACTTTTTATGCTTAATTGAAGGCAGATGATATGAATCAAGGCTGCACTAAAATTTAGTATCTTCTTCAATTTTAGCATTTATGTGTGTAGAACAATTCAATTTTAGTATTTAGCATTAATATGTGTAGAACAACTAACAATCTCTAATATCTGACCAAGAATGATCTACATATTATTCTACCTACTTGTGTAGTGCCACTTACATATTAGAAAATTGCAGGACAAAATAGATGCATCCAAAAACTATTTTAGTACAAATATCAGCAAAATTAAGACCACCACTAAAATTAATAAAAGTTTTTACGCACTGTAGTAAATTTATCGTTAGTAAATAATAGCAGAACTCTTGTCCTGGGCAGGTGACAAATGCGCGCTGATGCTATTGAAATCAGGTGCTGGACCAAACAAGACAACCGAGGATGGAATGACACCCGTCCATGTAGCTGCTAAGTTTGGAAACCTGGCTACGTTATTGCTGCTTTTGGAAGACGGTGGAGATCCTTTAAGGAAGACCAAGGTAGCAATTAATATATTATTACAAAAAAAATGCATGCTGTATAAAAACTGCCTCATAAAGCATACAAATTTTTCAGTTTCCTCTTTTCTAATATTCTAATAGACGCCGTTAAGACATTTATTGAATTTAGAAATACAGATTGTTTTCCCACAAAAATATTTATAACTGATTTTTTTCTAAACACTATTAGTTTATAATATTTGCATTTAAATTTTACATTTTTACATTTAATATTTTGATCTATACTGTTTTCAGACCGGTGAAACTCCTCTGCATATGGCATGTCGGAGTTGTAAACCAGATGTGGTTGGGCATCTTATAAATTTTGTAAAAGACAGCAAAGGTGAAAGCGTCGCAACATCCTACATCGATGCCGTCGACGATGATGGGGCTAGTGCCTTACATTATGCATGCAAAATCACAAAGGAAGAAGTTAAAATACCTGGAGCAGACAAAGATGTTGTTAAATGCCTCATAGAGAACAATGCTAATGTAACGCTTACAACAAAACATAATCACGAAACTGCATTCCATTTCTGTGCTATGGCAGGAAACAACGAAGTAATGAGCGAAATGATCACTCACATGTCCGCTGCTGATGTTGGTAGAGCGCTGAACAGACAAAATTCCGTCGGGTGGACACCTCTTCTAATTGCTTGTCATAGAGGACATATGGAACTTGTGAATAATTTACTAGCAAATCATGCTAGAGTCGATGTTTTCGATATCGAAGGCCGATCAGCCTTACATTTAGCTGCTGAACATGGATATTTACAAGTCTGTGATGCGTTGCTGACGAATAAAGCGTTCATAAACTCAAAAGCAAGAAATGGACGGACAGCACTACATTTAGCAGCAATGAATGGTTATGCACATTTAGTAAAGTTTTTGATAAGGGACCATAATGCAATGATTGACGTGTTAACTTTGAAGAAACAGACTCCGCTACATTTGGCTGCTGCTAGTGGTCAAATGGAGGTTTGTAAATTACTACTTGAACTGGGAGCAAATATTGATGCAACGGATGAAATGGGTGAAAAACCAATTCACGCAGCTGCACAGAATAATAATTCTGAAGTAGTACAGCTATTCTTACAACAGCATCCAAACTTAGTCGTAGCAACGACAAAAGATGGAAACACTTGTGCTCACATAGCAGCCATTCAGGGTTCGGTGAAAGTGATAGAGGAACTGATGAAATTTGATCGTACTGGTGTGATAACTGCAAGAAATAAACTAAATGATTCGACTGCATTGCAATTAGCTGCTGAGGGCGGCCACGCAGATGTAGTAAGAACTTTAGTAAGGGCTGGAGCCTCATGTACTGATGAAAACAGACAAGGTCTTACAGCTGTACATTTGGCAGCGCAGCATGGACATACAAACGTGTTAGATGTAATGAGATCGACAAATACCCTGCGGACGTCCAGTAAAAAGTTAGGGTTGACTCCGCTCCATATTGCTGCTTACTATGGACAAGCTGGTAAGAACGATTAACTTCTGAAAGAAAGAACACTTATCTATTTTAAAGAACTAACGACACCTAACGTAGGTTAAAGACTGTTTGTCTGTGAAATCTAAATTTTATTTCAGAAACGGTTCGAGAGTTGCTGTCCTTTGTGCCCGGCACAGTAAAATCAGAAGCTCCTACAGGCATGTCTCTAGTACCAGTATTAGGGGCAGAATCCGGTTTGACCCCTCTACACTTGGCTGCGTATAATGGCAATGAGAATGTAGTGAGGTTACTATTGAACTCCGCTGGTGTGCAAGCTGATGCTGCCACTACTGAGAATGTAAGTCAATATTACTCAGACACTTTGTGAGTAGTAATAAATAGCAAACCAAAATGTCACGTTTATTCAGGTCTACTAGATAAATATTTGTGCTAGATCAATGACCTTTTGCTTAATGTGAATTGAGGTAGGTAAATTAGAAAAGGTTGTTTATACAAAAATTATTTTGTATTTCAGGGCTTTAACCCCCTTCATCTGGCATGTTTTGGAGGACACATGTCAATTGTTGGTCTGCTTCTTAGTAGATCTGCAGAATTATTACAAAGTACAGACCGACATGGCAAAACTGGTCTACACATAGCTTCCACATACGGACACTATCAGATGGTGGAAGTGTTACTGGGTCAGGGTGCTGAAATCAATGCAACAGATAAAAATGGCTGGACTCCTCTACATTGCGCAGCTAAAGCTGGACATTTAAATGTTGTCAAACTGCTCTGTGAATCGGGAGCATCACCAAAGAGTGAAACGAATCTAAACTGTGCCCCCATATGGTTCGCGGCTTCGGAAAATCACAACGACGTATTAGAATACTTATTACATAAGGAACACGATACGCAATCATTGATGGACGATAAAAGATTTGTCTACAACTTAATGGTTTGCTCAAAGAATCACAATAACATTCCAATAGAGGAGTTCGTGTTGGTGTCACCGGCGCCGGTCGACACTGCCGCTAAGTTATCGAACATTTACATCAATTTATCTACAAAGGTGAGTGATTGAACTGCGGTTTATGAGTAAGACGTAGAAATAAATATTAATGAGTATTACATACCTAAACAGGAAAAGGAGCGTGCCAAAGATCTTATAGCTGCTGGTAAACAATGCGAGGCGATGGCTACGGAGCTGCTGGCGCTGGCCGCTGGCGCGGACTCCGCTGGTCATATCCTTACTGCCACTGATAATAGAAACATCGAGTTCTTGGATGTGCTCATTGAGAATGAACAAAAGGAAGTTATAGCACACACAGTCGTTCAGAGATATCTTCAGGTAAAAAATAGGTAACTTTAAATATTTTAGCAACAAAGCCTGGAGTCTTTCAAGCATTGGCCTTAATGATGAAATTGGTTTGTTACAGGAACTCTGGCGAGGGAGTCTCAAATGGACGGGCCTCCAAATTATGTTCCTTTTTGTCGCATTCATAATCTGTCCACCAGTTTGGCTGGTGTTTTCTCTTCCACTAGGCCATAAATACAATAAGATTCCAATAATGAAATTCATGTCGTATTTAACGTCTCATATATACCTCATGGTATTGCTAGCCTTAGTAGCGATAACTCCTATTTATAGTTCTATATTTAGGGAGAGCCTCGTACCGCGGTGGTACGAATGGATGTTGCTTGTGTGGTTGAGCGGGCTGTTGCTCTTTGAGCTCACCAATCCCAGTGACAAGTCGGGATTAGGATGGATTAAAATAGCTGTATTGTTATTAGGCATGATAGGTGTAGCGACGCATGTCGTTGGGTGGATTTTCGTTCAGCCCAAGTATTGGCCTACTCTTATGTACTGCAGAAATCAATGCTTAGCCTTATCGTTCTTGCTGGCTTGCGTCCAGATTTTAGACTTCTTATCCTTCCATCACCTCTTCGGTCCTTGGGCGATCATTATCGGTGACCTGATGAAAGATTTGGGCCGGTTTCTTGCCGTGTTAGCAATTTTCGTGTTCGGTTTCTCAATGCACATCGTCGCGCTTAACCAACCCTTCAGGAATATTCACAAGGCGGAAGACAATAAGTATGCACGACAACAGAGGAGAAAGATCTTTTCCGACGGTGAGTCCTTTTCCTACACCACTTACATCATTGCACTTTCACCATCACAAAGCAAAATTATCATTTTCAAGTTTCAAATGTTATATATTTACAAATATATATCTTATATTTTTGTAATAATCAAAATGGGTATGTATATTAAAGGGATTGATTTAATGTTGATTGTTATGACTTGTTATACAATAGATCATAGTCTACGAATGAAACGACAAACAATCGATGACAGTGCATCTTACCGACGGAAAGGCGGGCCTACGGGGCGTAAGTTAGAGTTAGAAAGCTGATGCAAATATTTCATAATTATCTATGTGTATTTTAATGTCACCACGTTCCGATGATCGCATTACCTCTCGATGTGCTTCTTCTCATTTATGTTGGAACGGTCCCTGCATCCGCACACAGCCTTGAATGTTTATCGTCACATCGAGAATGTTATCATCGTCTATCAAAAAATTTTCTTTTGATACTACATTATATTTTGTTTCATAGATATCTGTGATTGCAACCTGACACAAAATGGAATGTGATAGGGCCATGTAAAATATGACACACAGCTTGCCTTAATTTATGATCTATGTTTCGTAAGAGAAATCGTAAATTATGGTGGGGGTGCGAATGTGCTGGTTAGAATTTGTGATAATGTCTCACAATGCATCTTCTGCTTGGCATCTGCCGCTTGGGGTATGTTGCAGATTGGATGTGGATACAGACCATGCATTGGTCACGTCACGGGTTAGAGTAGTGGAATGAGTGGCCGACCTCACCGCATTGGATGGAGCAGTTTTTTTGCGCATGCGGCTGCTTGTGTCCGCGCTAGACCGGCACCAGTGATGTTGCTGATTCTGTCGCTGTATTTTGTGAGGTACATGTCCGTGAGGCGCGTGTCGCTATCACATCGACGCCGTCCGCTGCCAGCTACCGTGTCGTCTCACCTGCTGTTAGAGGAATGGGTGGATTGATGCAACGTCAATATACGTCAGAACTAGATGGATATTACCCAGTTAGTACTTACATAATCAGTCAAAAAACACCCTACTTACAAATAATAAGCCCACAACGAAATAAACTTCTGTTCGCATTATTAGACTGTGAACTTTATGAACACTAAAACTGAACATTGGACATAACCATTACATACATGAATCTACCCCTTCCACACACACAAAATGTCAATATAGTTGACCTTTTAGATTGTTAGTGAGTCTGGTTTTTAGTCGAAATCGGTGTTGGGACAGATTGAAGCACATCAATGACAATCAAAGTAAATATTATGGAAACCAAAAGTTCATATTAATTGAATCTGAACCAGTACAGTATTCGTTGCATCAACCTCTCCCTCGCCAAGTCAATGTCGAGTAGTATTTCATAGAACAGAACTTGGTCCAATCAAGTGTTGTCTTCTAGCGACGTTGTCACCGTACGAGGCGTTCGAGAAATTGTTCTTCGCCATTTTCGGCCAGATCACGCTCTCAGACCTGAACTACATCTCCGACGTGCGCCCCTTGTGGACACAGAACCTGTTCAAGCTTATCTTCGGGAGCTACTTACTGATGTCGGTCGTGGTGCTCATTACGCTCCTTATTGCGATGATGTCGGACACTTATCAGCGCATACAGGTAACACCAACAACAACGGGATGTTTGAATTTGTTCGCAGTGACGATGAATCCGATATTCTCGTTCGAGTTGCTATTCTTCGCGGTGTTCGGTCAGACGACGACTGAGCAGACGCGAGTGCACCGAAACGACAGCGTAATGCAGCCCGCGTGGACGAATTACTTGTTCAAAATCGTGTTTGGCATCTACATGTTAGTGTCGGTGGTGGTGCTGATTAACCTACTGATTGCTATGATGTCAGACACCTACCAGAGGATACAGGTATCGTATACGTGAACTGATTAATTCTGGTGTGTGCTGCCGCTGCCGACACCTTGCGCATTCCTGATGAGCACTAACAAAGGACACGCATACAATAATTGAATTCTAATAAAAAAAATTAAACATTACGTGTATAGTGTACATTATTTGTGAGTTGACTAATCAAATAACTTATAAAAGCCCTAAACAACAATGATTCAAAATTTCTTGCACATATAAAAGGTAAATACACAAAGTTAAATTGTACATTCGTAATCGTGTCTAAAATTTTATCAAGATCATTTCTTTCCCAACAGGAACAAAACGTGGACAATTCATTATAATAAAGTTTACAATATCACTTCTAAAATCTCTTTTATAAAATACAGCTAGCTGTATATAATATTTTCGATAAGATTCATGTTTCCTATCGAATAGCTCGCATACTAAGCCCAGTATGGAAGTAGGTCAAAAGGAAAGGTACCTACAATTTCCGTTGCAAAACGGAGGCTACAAGGCAAAGGTGTGGCGATACCTTTTTATCTTGCTTGACTGACCAAGATCCTTTGAACGTATAACCTAGGACGTGAAGGTTTGAGGTAAAACGAGAAGCATTTGAAATAATTATGAGACTATCCGTATCACACGACTTTACGTAAAGTAATGAAAATTAAAAAAAATATATAAAGAAGTATTATTATCATTTAAAATTATTATTAGCATCTACTGCATAGGTTCCCAAACTTTTTTAGGCAAGGCACTTAGGCAAAACAATAAAATTTCAAAGCCCACCACCACAAAATACAATTGAAAACACGTATTTTTTATATTAACGTAACACAAAAAAAGGAAAAGGAAAATATATGTACATATGTAGTGTAGTTTATAGGTAGATAATTAAGGTTTTTTATTTCAAATGACAGCATCAACGCCTCCCAACTGCTACAGCCCCCATAGGACTCTTCAGCGCCCACTGGGGGCGGTAGGGACAACTTTGGGAAACTATGATCTAAATAATATCATGTACAAATAAATCAAAGTAAAAGAAAGTAGGCATCTTTTGAAGTATTTTTTTATTCTATCAGAAAATAACAGTATTTACCTACGTCGATATTATTCTTAAGCTTATAAAGAACTCGCGGTTAGGTAAATTTTTAATGATCTTGACACGAGTTTGCACTAATTTTGAAGGCAATGACATAGTTAATTTGATAACACTATTTGTATTAGGTACATTAAACACTTGATTTTGTAACTTTGAAAATAATGTAGAGTAGATACATATTTCATAGTCTTTGCTTTAAAGATTTAGTGGTTATTAGATATAGTAACAAAAGTAATCAAAAAGTCTGATTTTGAGTAAAAATAATGGTGATTCTCTTCCTCGCTGTCTCTCTTCCTCTTTTGAATTATTAATTCCTTTTAGGCTCTATTACAGCACTTTTAAAGATACATTTGAATACATTTTGTGTGCGTTCCTGCATAAATTAATAAAATAGAAATAAACTAATGGTTTGTTCCCCTTGCAGTTTGTACGAAACCTAGTCTTTGCACTTCTAAATCTGCAATTCAGTCAAACCAATAAAACTATGATCATCTACTAAAAAAGTGTAATTTCTAGGCACAATCGGACATCGAGTGGAAGTACGGTCTGTCGAAGTTAATCCGCAACATGCACCGCACCAATACTGCGCCCGCGCCGCTTAATCTCGTCACCACTTGGCTCATGTGGCTAATCGCGAGATGCAAGGTAATTCTCCTTCTATTTTTTGGCATAAAAAATAGGTGCGCATGTGACCTCTATCTCACCTGATGGAAAGTGACGATGAGGTTGAAGATGGAGCATGCAAATCTAAGTAATGCCTATTCACTCTTGCCTTGAAAAGGCCCAAGTTCAAGGAATAAGTCTGTAGGCAGGGAATTACAATCCATAGTCTAGTTCCCCGATGATGGAAAAGGGAAGGTAGAATTACATCGTGTAATTCTATCGTGAAATATATAATTGAATAGAAATAAATGAGTTCTCTGGTGCTTTTCCCATTATATTTTGATGTGTCTTCGGAAGATAAGCGATGTAAAAATGCGATCCGATGGTGCAAAACAAAGTCTAGCAAGGATTCATTGCACCAGTCGGTTCAATGAAACTTGCGAAATAACCAATAAAGTGTTAGTAACCATGTCATCACCGAGTCTACATCCAAAAATCCTGTTAAATAAATAACATTTTTCTAGAAAGTTACGTCTTTCGACTCATCCGTAGAACAAAGATCTATGTGCAAGACTACTTGTTCTAAGGACATAGTACACATTTCGTCCGTTCTTCTTCGCTGTGGATGTCAGATCGTCCGTTGTTCGATTTTATATTTCCGAAACGAAATGAGATATATAAATTCTCAAAACACCTTTACCTAGACCTTAGTTTGAATAACGAAATTATTCTCGTAATGTACTTATTCTCTTTTCGCTATATAATCACATCGGACTCTGTTCTTCGGACAGGTTTTCGCGATTGTTACACATAGGAAAGGAAACTATTTTTTCAGATCTAAATCGCGTGTATTTGTTTTTTCAAACACACCAACGTGTCGTGCCGGCACACAAGGTCCCAGATTTGTTATTTAACCAATAATCCATGACAATAGGATCTGTAAACAGTGTTTCCAGTGTTGTTGAGTCGAAAACTTCATTTCCTTACCTGATAAGTTACATTTTTGCTACACAAGCATTGACTTACAATTATATGGACGTCGGGTCCGCGCTAAAAAGTGTCCGCACTTGTAAGGCGCTAAAATCGTATACAGAGCGCTACCTCCGCTTTAGTCTTCATTTGTTCTACTGACAGCGCGATACTGCGATGACATTACAATTTAAATTTCGAATAGGTTGACTTGGGACATTTTTTTCGTGGTTTTTGTATTAGACCCGTCGTCCATTTATTTGTAAGTCAATGTACACAAGTTACAATTTAATTCAGAATTGTAACTGTAAATTGTCGCCTTACTTTCTCAAACTCGTATCTTATAGCACAAAGTTGCTGCAATGCTAAAAATGGATTGTATATACAAATGTTGCAGGCAGATTCTACATCACATTTCCTTCATTTTCACACACTGGCTTTCGCCCATTCTTATAGTAATGCATCCAAATTAACCCCCTTGATAAGAAATTTAAATAAATAGAAAGTTTTGCCATTTCCTGAATAATCACTCTTTACAAAATACGAGTTTGAGAAAGTAAGGCATCGAAATGATACATACATATAATCTTAAATCCTAAAAATAATAAAGTCAGCAAGCTCAAGAAATAACCAGTTAATTGAATGATTTCATTTTTGCGCCATCTCTGAGTTACTTTATTGTCTAATTTGGGTGTGTTCGTAAACTATTTAGGAATTACAATAAATATAGTTAAATTTAAAAAAACTCAACGTCCTCAAAAGTTACGAAAATGCTTTAAAAACAAAAGTTACTTATATTACGCATGAGGGTCAAATTTACGGAAGATGTAAGACAGTCATTTTCGGACTAGTGGCAATTTTTGTTATTTAAATATTCAAGTCTATTATCGTTGTAACAAACCTACTTTATATATTAGACGGCCTTTAAGCAGATTGTTCACTTTTAGTTCCCTAAGAATCCGCTAGATGGCATTGACCAATATGGCGTTATTTCTGAATCGGGGTCTTAAGATTTTCCCTCGAAAGGTGACTCGAACACAATTTTGTTAATGTGAAGAGAAACCTGAGAATACAGAGAGCTCAGTAAGGCGAACTAGGAGTTGAGTCCCGTTTTGGGAACTGACATTTCGTACGCTCATATAGGGTGAAATATTATTGTCCATCATATAGAGTGAATAAACATCATCTCGCGGAACGGTTTCCAGGAGTGAGTCCCTTCTTAGGAACAATTGCCCAAACTTTCCGCATATAGGGTGAAATTGTATTGGCGACATACAAGGTGGAAAATAAATATTCTCAACAACTTGGAGTATTGGTAACCATATCCTACGGTACAGAGAACCTCCCTCCTTTACATCGTGTAATTACTAAATAATATATCACGATACAATACTCGAATATTCAATAATATTGCACGATAAAATATCGGATATTTACATTTACACAACAACAGAAACGTTTAAAAAGTTTTTTTTAATCTATACAAAGAAACGTCAATGATATTGTCGTTGAGATATTATTATTTAATCTAGAAAATGCTATGATAGTACGTTAAGCCCTCTAATCTCGTGATACTATTCACTTCCAAAGTTGTCAGAGGGTCTGCGGTTTAACATTTAAAATTTAGTAGAGCAAGATAATAATAATAAAATCTATAACATAAGTAGTTGTTATTTATTTCTTTTAATGAAAAATTCTGTAAATATTCCGAAAAATATTTTGAAAAATAATATTGTTCTCTGGCAGAAAGTGTGACGTGGATGTACGACACGTTTTGTATTTAAACATTAGCTAACAATTTGTCTGAGGGTACCTATAATATTCAATATGTCTATTTGTGGGATGAATGTTGTTTAATTTTCCATTAATTAAAAAAAAAAATGTTCCTAGGAGCGAATGACTAAGAAGAAGCGACCAAGTCTGGTGCACATGATTGGTCTGAACCGCCAGGACCAGATGAGCGCAAGATCGAAAGCTGGCGCCAAGTGGCTCTCCAAAGTCAAGCGAGGACAGGTTGTGCCCAAAGGTAAGAAAAAACGGTGTTATTTATTTAGGTATTGGTTATAATGAAGAGACAATTTCAAATACTTAATACTTTAGAATAATAACGCATAGAATGATAGTTTCATATCAAACGAACTGTCACAAGTGAGGCAAAAATCAAATTCATGTAGGCTAGTTTTAGTAGTAGGTTAATTTTCGGTTTTAGTGAATATTTATATAAAAATACAAGTTGAAACGCGTTACTTCCTTGTGGAATATGATATTAGTATCTATTTTATGTTTGTCTGACGTATTTTTACACTCATTTACCGCACATTTCGTCATTTTTAGCTAAAATTCTTGAGCTGTTCGCGGTGCAAGTTGACCTTGAGCACTGAAGGCCCGTACGCTCGTGTAGGCCCATTGGGCGCGCTTCGATTTGCCTCACTTAGCGTGTGCGGACTAGGTTTCTATGCGTTATTATTCTAAGCTTAATACAATATAAATCAATATTTGTTTTCCATGTGTTAGCTTCTAATTAAAAAGCGGTAAATCCACATGAGTATAATTTACTATTCTAGAACCTGGAGTTCAAAGACGCGTGTGTATTTGTAAACAAGGCTGAATGAGTTAGAGTTTTTGCGTTAATACAAAAACTCGCCATTTTCATAAAATTATTAGTTCGTGGTTGTAATAAAAGTACCTATGTGAGTTTCAAAATGGCCAGATGTAATCGATTTCCCGCGAAAAAATGTTAGAAAGATAAACTATTGAAGAAAAATTACAATCTGACAATAATACCAATTAGACGCTTTAGTTTGTCTCGAAGGACGAAAAATGTTGCTATTACCTACCGATAACCCTGGGCAAGAGATGGCTTAAGCATCACTACTATCCATTCTACTTTTACAATGTGCTATTTAATTATATTTCAAATCGTTGTTGTATATAACTCCTGTAATAAACAAAACTTGTCGTGTTCTTATACACTTTATTTGAACTTAGGTACTATCTTTTTAATTGTATTTGTCTTAAGTATTTAATTACTCGAATATCGAGTTCTTAGGTTTACGCGATTGTTACACATAGGCAATGAAACTATTTTTCTTCGAATCTAAGACCGATTACACACGGTTACGTTTAGCAGCAATGTAAACGCGATGCAATAGCGATCTTTACACACGCGCTCGATTTTAAGCAAATTTTTTTTGTTAGTACCAAATGTCAATCCGGCTGAATTGGATTGAAGGAATTTTGTATCAATAATAACAACAAACTAGTGAAGTATTTTCACCAAAAAATATATGAATATCATGTAAAAAAAACATGGCGGATTATATTATAAATAATTACCGAAAAAATAGTTCCATTTCCAATTTATAAGAAATCACAAAATTTCATACAATCTTAATTAAAAATAATTATGTTTTTAGATTCAACCCGCCTATCCGTGGTGCACCTCAGTCCCATTGGATCTCAATTGAGCTTCAACAATATGACGAGAATAGAAAACGTAGTTGATTGGGAAGTCATAGCAAAGAAGTATCGAGCTCTATGGAGGGACGAGCCAGAGGAGCCTATTCTCAAAGAGAGCGAAACCGACGCTGCTGATGACGTCTCCGAAATAGTTGCTAATAATGTTGCTGCTGCCCCGCCTTGAACAACACAATATATCTTTTGGGAACAAATGAACAAAGGTCACAAAACGGACCAATAGGATCCCCATATCACTATTAAATTCAATTAAGCGCGGGAGGAGAATCGACACGGTTTATCGTGATGTGATGAAGTGTGGAAATGTTGTTATAATTATAGCGGAAAAAGTTTTTAGGTTTTGGGAAGTTGTGTTTTAATTAACTCATAATCGCACGTCATTGAAACACAATTTTTATTTAGATAAACTACAAAGTGCTTAGTATATAATTCCTCAATTAAGCACAGTTTAGTGGAATCCATAACTTGAAAGTGACTATTATTTTTATTGAGCATTAAAAAGTAACCACAAACTTATTATGTACACTCGTATATCATACTTTTGGCATTTTCATGTTAAGACAAATGCACCCTTGGGATAATAAGGCCATATCTAACATTTGGAAACGGGAATAAATGCGTTTACATACGAATAGGTATTTACCTAGTTTCCCGACGTTTCGGCCAGGTTGTACTGGCCGTGGTCACGTACAATCATAGTACAATGCAACACGAAAGTTTAAAAGTATATAAGGCCATATCTGCAAATAAACAACTTTTCAGGAGAGAGGTTTACAGATTCTGCGAATGAAAGTAGTCTATAGCTTTTTATGCTTAAACAGGAAAGTTATATAATTTGTTTCATGTAATTACGGTAGCTGACCAAGAATATAATAAAAAAAATACTTACCCAAAAAAAAATGAGAACATTATCATATCAATAAAAAATAATATATCATATCAAGTTCTTAGATTTTGGCGATTGTTACACATAGGAAATGATGCTATTGTTTATGGATCTAATGCGCGTGTATTTTTTTAGCAAACCAAAGTTTCGGGCCGTTTACAGATCCCATAATTACTGAATATCAATATCGGTTAGTCTGCCGCAGTCATGGGACCTCTAAAATGCCCGAAATGTTATTGGGTTGTTTGAAAACCAAACAAATATACGCGATTGAAATCCGAAAACAATAGTTTCATTTTCTAAAAGAATAATATATTTTTGCTTGTGGACCTTAAGCGCGGACGCCGCACAGCGACCGTCCAGTTACAACGCTTTCGCGTACATTAATGGCGAATCAGAATTCTATTTACTAGGCAACAGCATTTTATTAGGCAACAAATTCCTCTGAATAATACAATCGCGCGGTCACCGTGCGGCCTCCGCGTGGCCTCAGCCCGGCCGCCGTTCGGTCGCCGCGTGGTTGCCTCGTAGACCAAAGACAAGCCAGCCTCGTCCGCGAGGCCGGGACGCTCATTTAAGTTAAAACGTAAATGCTAAATAAATAGAGCATACTTTGCCATGACGCAAATAACGCAATGGCAACGCGTACTCCACGCGGCGAGAGCGCGATGAAATTCGTGTCGAATAAACGCGCCCTAAAGTTGCCCAAATTTTACTTCCAAGTTATGAATCAGAAACTTTTAATTACAAGACAATTAACTTGATTATAATTGCGAAGGGCAAGTAGGCTTACAAGCTCCTGCGTTTTAAAATTCTGTTATTCATTCAAACGATCGTTAGTTAAGCCGCAAAGTGTTTTCACACTTTCCGTTGTTGTTATAATCAGTTGGTGCGCCGCAAATCAGTAAAACAAAAAACATTTGCGGTGTCATTGACACTCCTACTTGTAAATAACACGTTTACATTGTAAATAAGTAAACCCGTTACTTTCAATCGAGTTATCGGATCCCTTTTTCTATCATGCGGATTGTGGTCCGCATGCATAATTGTAAATATTAATATAACGCTTTATTGATTCTGCACTACGCGATTGATAATGTAGATCCCATTGCAGGACTGATGGAATATTGCGTTGCTTTCATTCGTAGATATAGCTTTGGTAGCAGGCGAAATGGCATCACAATGAGTATTGTATTTATCTACATATCGCACCCCTCAGGAAGAATGGCATAAGTGGAATTACATTACACATGTTTATTGTTCCATTAGATACAGAAACATGTGAAGAGGATGTGGGTTATATATTTCTGTATCTGACCTCCAATTTGAGAGAATGTGGGTTATATTTTCTGTATCTAATGGAGCAATAAACATGTTTGTCGTAATTTCACTTATGCCATTCGTGAGGGGTGCGATATTACATTCAGAGGTCATGCGCTAGGCCAATCTCACATGAGCGGTTTTGTTTTGGATGTATCCGCACGTTGCATCACTGGCGCTGGCGTTTTTTCATATGTCATCGCTTCACATTTTGTGATAGGGATGGGCGCGTCGCGTGGTGTGACTTACGCCGCGGCGACGTGTATAATCCCACTTACAATGTACACGTCCACCCATGAAAACCTTTGATAAAGTTATTATGTTAAGATACCTACAGATTTGCTCAATTTTTGACAGGTGTCGATCTACTAAAAAAACGATATCGATCGTCTGCGTCTCACCACATTCACTCGATAATGTCCGATCACACGTGTTGATCGCATTGACTTTACTCTTTTTGTTTGACCGCACGTGTTGGTCGTTCTAAAAAAAAATCGAGTGAGTCTGTAGGCATCTTAAGCAAGCAGAGCTCATATACCAAGAAATATAAATAAAACAAGAAAATAACTTATACTAGAAAGTGATTATATCAATCTTCAACATTGAACATAGAATCGGACAGCCGGTCTTCGACTAGATGAGCTGTTCTCAAGTAACACGAAATGTTTTTTATGACTAAGTGCTACCACAGCGTCAGAAATAGGTAACAAAAAAAAAACATAAGAAAACAATAGAAAAACCCATGCACTCATGACAAAAGATGACTTTTAGTAGCTATATTCCTTAATATTACTTTTAATGAAAACTGTTCCTTACGTAATGAAATTCCACTTCAATGGACAAAATATTAAATTAGGAGTAATTGATTTTCTATAGGTAATTTTAGACGTATTGCTTGCACTATGTAAATATAGTACAGTGTTTACAATTATTACGATTAGATTACAAAGGAATTTAGATCGTATTCACCAATAGGGCCTTATAGAGGTATTTTTACGAAAAATCATGTATTTTTTATTAGTGATTTAAAATAGGAATATTACAATAAAGTTAATATTTTTCCATTTTAGAGTGGTTTAAGTGACTTATAATTAAGTTTTTTGTAAATAATTGTGCATTTGTGTACGTGTATTGTTTCAAATAAAATCAGTACAGTTTTATTAAGAACTTGTTTTATTAAAAAAAAAATTGTATATTTTTCTTTCAAATTTTTCTTCAAATTAGACGCTTATACAAGCGCTACAGTGGCGACACTATTAAGTTTCATAAAATCTCGTTCGTTCCGTGGCTTAGTTGGCATAGCGTCTGGCCCAGTTAGCTCGGAGACGTTGGTTTGAATCCAACCAGATCGAAGTGATTTTTTTCTAAGCGTTCGATCTTTTTCGATTGTTCCTGACATTAAATAAAAACTTAATTACAAATTATTAAAGTGACATCTCTAGTCAGCGTCTGGTAGCTGTAAAGTTGAAAGGGTTGTAACTCTAACTAGCCGTGAACAGGTTCACGGCAATGAAATGGGAAAGTTTCGGTCCACAAAATTTATTAAAGAAGTAAAGTTTAAAGAAAGGGCCCTAAATGGGTCGAGTAACTGAATTACAGATATATATATATATATATATATACATCTTGAAGGATATATCTATATATATATATATATATATATATATATATATAGGTACCCGAAGGCTGTAGACTGTTATAAATTATTACACATGATTTAGCTTATTTAATGTTTATAAACGTAGTAAAGAACCAGAATTAGCGATTATTCGCGATGGAATTTGGAACAGCTTCGACTGTTGTGGCGGTCGAGCTGGGAGTGACCGTGGTACGAAAACAAAATGAGAAAGTGAAGGAAGATGGAACAATTCAAATTTAAAATTTAAATACATGTAAAATAAAAAATGATAGGATACAAGCGGAGAGAGGCGATATAAAGAGGTGAGATGACGGTGTAAGGAGGTCACACCGTCACAAAGGTACCTCTCTGAGTAAAGAAAAACTTTCATAGATTTGTCACAGATGGTGCTTCGACAAAAAGTAGTTATAAACCAAAATAAAGATCTGCAACAAACACATGGAACAATCGTGAGGTCCGTTGGTTCGTTCCGTGGCTTAGTTGGCATAGCGTCTGCCACGGTTTGCTGGGAGACGTTGGTTCGAATCCAACCGGTTCGAAGTGAATTTTTCGAAGTGAATTGAAAGTATTCAAAAAAGAAAAGGAGAAATTTTTCAAAAAAATTATTGAATGTCGTGGTGGTCAAATATCCTGACATTCAATATAAAACTTCATTTCATACAATATTTAAACGTGCAATCGCAGCGCCACTGTCGTGACACGCGCTCGCCACTTTTGCAGTCACAATAACTTAATTGATAAGTATTTGCCGCGCCACTGCAGCATTTCTACAAAGGTCTCAGGATTTAGTAGCAATAGAGCGCCTTGTGAAAGAGTGCCCCTCAGATCTTTGCAATTTAATGGTCTGAGTGGCAGTGTAACTGTTATGGACAGGCGAGCAGCTTACCATCAGGCGCACGACTTGTTCGTCCCGTCACTTGATGTTATAAAAAATTTGAAGGCAGTTTAACCGTTATTTTTATGTGAAAACGACTAGACTTAACCAATGACGTAGAGTCGAAATAGTAAAGTAATTTTACTTTACTATTTAATTAAAACACTGTATTGACAATTCAAAATCATTCAATATATTAATTTCCCACGTTTTTTACACTTTAACTTTTATATAATTAAGATAATATACACGTACTAGAAAGTAAAACTAGGATTTTTAAATTATATGAATAAAAATTAGGTCCCCGCGGCAAGGTGCCCAAAGGTGCGTCTATGCCTTGGACAAGGTAGGTTTAGGCCCTTGGGTTTCCCCCTCGAAGGGGTCTTGTCGTGGCGGGCGGCTCTAGTAGCCGTGGTCGATTTCATCCCACGGTGAAGCTAAGAGGAACCCACGGGGCCGGCCGATGGTGGTAGGCTGGCCCGCGGAGGAGGGCGTTCCGCGCG